CTAGAACCATATGACACAGCTAAACTACTCTCTTTTTTTTTTTAGTTTTTTATTTTATTTATTTATTTATTTTTGGCTGTGTTGGGTCTTCGTTGCTGTGTGTGGGCTTTCTCTAGCTGCAGCAAGCGGAGGCTACTCTTTGTTGTGGTACACGAGCTTCTCATTGTGGTGGCTTCTCTTGTTGAGGACTCTAGGCACGCAGGCTTCAGTAGTTGTGGCACACAGGCTCAGTAGTTGTGGCTCGCGGGCTCTAGAGCACAGGCTCAGTAGTTGTGGCACACAGGCTTAGTTGCTCCACGGCATGTGGGATCTTCCTGGGCCAGGGATCGAACCCGTGTCCCCTGCATAGGCAGGCAGATTCTTAACCACTATGCCACCAGGGAAGCCCTAAACTACTCCTTTTTGAAACATGTTTTTCAGTTGAATTCTGTGATGCCTCACTACTCCTGGCTCCTTCTTATTATCCTGCTGAATCCTTCTCCTAACATCTAAACACTGAGTGACCCAGAGTTCAGACCTAAAAATCTCTTCCCACAGGAGGTAATCTGGTGGTCTGATCTAGTCCCCTGCCTTTAAATACTATCTATATGCTAATTATTCAATCTCTCTAACGTCCCCTTCCTCAAATCCAGGTTCATTCCCCTTTCTCAAATCCAGGTTCATATTTCCAACTGTCAACCTCTCCAATTAGATGTATAATAAACATCTCAAACTTTACATATTAAAATAAAAAAACTTTATACATTAAAAGGGTGAATTTTATGTTATGTGAATTATATCTAAATTTTTTTAAGATTTTAAAAATTACAAGTATTGTAATAAAGTGAACTAGTCCAAAATTTTGAACTGGAGTATCACAGAGTCACAAATTGGTTTTTTGTTTCTTTTTTTTTTTTAAACAAAGAACTATATTTAATCATACCGCGGGCTTCCCTGGTGGCACAGTGGTTAAGAATCAGCCTGCCAATGCAGGGGACATGGGTTTGAGCCCTGGTCCAGCAAGATCCAACATGCTGCGGAGCAACTAAACCCATGTGCCACAACTACCGAGCCCGCAAGCCACTACTGAAGCCCTCGTGCCTACAGCCTGTACTCCTCAACAAGAGAAGTCACCACAATGAGAAGCCAGCGCACCACAACAAAGAGTAGCCCCCAATCACAACTAAAGAAAGCCCACGTGCAGCAACGAAGATCCAACGCAGCCAATAATAAATTAATTAATAAAAAATCATATTGCTCTCACTAGCAAAAACAATGGTTTTCTGTAGTTACTACGTAAAATGTAATTTAAAAGTAAAAAAAAAAAACACTTTTACATCTATAACCTACCCAAATCTGTTCTTCCCTCAGTTTTTTCTATTTCAGAATGGGAAACCATTAATTCACCCAGATGCTGTAAAAAACTTTCCTCACATCCCATCTGTATGAAAATCCATTGATTCTACCTTCAAAACATACCCAGAATTGCCCTATTTTTCACCACCTTCACTGTTACCATTCTGGTCTAAACTACATTCATCTTTAAAGCACATCCTAACTGCTCTCTTCACTCTCTCCCCATCTGCCTACAGTCCACTTTCCACACAGTAGCCAGAGTGATAGCTTTCAAAACATTAATTACTTCAAATCACTCAAAAGCTTTCAATAGCTAGCAGCACACTTAAAATAAAATCCAAGGTCTTGACCAAGGCCTCTAGCTACATCTTCAAACTCATTTCCTTTCCCTCTCTCCCTCTGTCCACTTTGCTCTAAACACACTGCTTCTTTGGTATTTCTCAACACACTAAACATATTTCTTTCTCACGGTGTTTGCCCCTTTTGATTTCTGTGCCTGGGACTTTCTTTCCCTACATATTCCCATCACTCTCATCCTGGTCTCTGCTCAAATGCCATCTACTCAGAGAGACCTTCCCAGATTACTCTAACTAAAATAGGTACCAACCTGCCAGTTACCTCTCAAAGTCCCTACTCTATACCCTAAACCAGTTTCATTTTTCTTTATGCTATGAAGAATATCTAACATATAGCCATTTACTTTTTTGCCTATATCCCAACTAGAAAACAAGTCAATTCCTTGAGAAGTCAGTGCCTAACTCCAAGTCCACAATTAATATTTGTTCAATGAATGAACAAATGAATGGTGAATTCAGGAACCAGAACAACTCTGAAAAAGGAAGGTTAGAACCATATTATTCAGACAGTCTGAATATAAGGCTAATGTTCTTGGACTTTATCCTTCAGGCAATAAATCTCTGAGGCTTCTGGGAGGGAAAAAGAATGACATTACTGGAAAATATCAATATGGTAGCAGGATACAAAATGGACGAGAGAAGAAAAGACTCAAGACAGAGAGATCAGTTAGATAGTAACTATAATTATCTAAGCATGAGGTAATAGATGTCTGTATTTCTCTATTAGGATGGTAATAATAAGAACAGAAAGGTAGGACAGATATAAATGACACTAGGAGATAACTGACAAGACAAAAATTATTGGTGTCAGAGGTTTCAAGTTCGATTAGTAGAAAAGAACAAACAAACAAAAAAATTCAAAAAGAGTCAATTTGAGAAAATAATAGGAAGAATTTGATCTAGAACAAAGTTCAAGGTGCTGGAAGGACAATCAGATAAGCCATTTATAGGTCAATGCTGAAGGAGCAGATTTAGGAGCCATGCACACAGATGATAGTTAAACCTGCAACAGTAGATCAAATTTCTCAAAGTAGATAAAAATTTCCCAGAAACTTCATAATAGAGAATGCCAGCGCAATACTTAAGAAATAAATACTTGTAAGGAACAGGAGGTGGAAGAGGAAAAGTGAAGAAATGAAGAATCAATGAGTGGACTTCCCTGGCAGTCCAGTGGTTAAGACTTCGCCTTCCAATGCAGGGGGTGTGGGTTTGATCCCTGGTCCAGGAGTTAAGATCCCACATGCCTCAGGGCCAAAAAACCAAAACACATAAAACAGAAGCAATATTGTAACAAATTCAATAAAGACTTTAAAAATGGTCTACGTAAAAAAAAAAAAAAAAAAAAAACTTAAAAAAAAAAAAAAAAAGAGAGGAAAAAAGGTCTAAGAAAAAAAAAAAAAAAAAAAAAAACTTAACAAAAAAAAGAATCAGTGAGGTATAAGGTAATAACCAGAGATCATATGTATGCTGAACCTTCATCAAAAGAGCTGAGTCCAGATCTACTCTACCAATAAATTAACTACAGTGATAGAGGCCAATTACTTAATTTCTCTAGCTTCATTCAGCTTTACCATTTATAAAACATAATGATATGTATGAGTTGCTATTTTTACAATAGAATAATACAACACCTTACAAATGGAGAGTACATTTTAGGTTTTTTTTTAAACAAGTGTCCACCATCAGCCTTTTTCTTTATTTGTTGTTGTGGACCTTTTTTTTTTTTAATTTTTATTTTTGGCTGCGTTGAGTCTTCATTGCTGCACACGTGCCCCCCCTAGTTGCAGGGGGTAGGAGCCACTCTTCGCTACGGTGCGCAGGCTTCTCACTGCAGTGGCCTCTCCCGTTGCAGAACACGGGCTCCAAGCGTGCAGGCTTCAGTAGTTGTGGCTCGCGGGCTCTAGAGCACAGGCTCAGTATCTGTGGCGCAAGGGCTTCATTGCTCCATGGCATGTGGGATCATCCCGGACCAGGGCTCGAACCCGTGTCCCCTGCACTGGCAGGCGGATTCCTAACCACTGCGCCACCAGTGAAGTCCCGATGTGGGCCATTTTTAAAGTTTTTATTGAATTTGTTACAATATTACTTCTGTTTTATGTTTTGGTTTTTTGGTGGAGAGGCATGTGGGATCTTAGCTCCCCAACCAGGAATCAAACCTCCCACCCCCTGCATTGGAAGGTGAAGTCTTAACTACATTTTAGTTTCTAAATTACCTTTTAGCTTATCTCATTTAATGCCACAACCATCCTGTGAGACAGATCTTGTTATCCACATTCTATTGTTTGAGAAAACAATGCTAAGATCAAGTCTCTCAGTTTATGAGTGGGAGAACCAGCATGGTATGTAACTTAGGCCCTCTGTAGATGTGTAGTGTCAAAGAACACAGACTCTTGACCCAGGCTTCCTGGGTTCAAATCCAGCTCCACCATTTGCTAAATGTGTGACTGGAAGCAAATGATTTAAGTGTTACAGATATTACTCTTGACAAAGGGATATTTATCTTCCTCAGGCAGGAATAAGGAACCACAGAGAAATTTTGAGATGATGAGCATGTTAGATGACTTTGACTTTCTCAATAAAGGAAATAATCTACTAAGAGTCATGTGGGCCAGGCAGTTTTCAACTATGGCCTGCAGATGTGTGACTGAATCCCCACACACAACCAAAATAAGCTCTTCTGCTTTACATCTTAAGCTTCCTAATAATTTTGTTTCTGGGGTTCACCTACATTCAATTTTTAAAGCCATTGGATTATATTCATCTTTAAGGTCTCTTTTAACTATAAGATTATATGATTTTATTATGTGCCTTTTAACCCATTACTAGCTTTTTCTCTATCTTACCCATCAAACAAGTATAAACTCTCCCTCCTGAGTCTCACAGCACTTTGTGAGTGCCTCTTTAGGACACTGCACATTCTTCAATATAAACACAAAGACCATTCTCTCAATTAGATTTAAGCTTCTGCAGGGCAGGCACTTCCATCACTTATCTTAGTATCCTCAACCCCAAACACAACGCAGGTAAGCACTTAGTAAGTACTTGTTAAATGTACAGTGATTTAATAATGTAAATATACTAAAGTTACACTGGGCTTTGGTTTCCAGACACTTCATGGCAATTATGACTTGATGATTATTCATCTCCATAGTACTAAACAATACACATTGATGGTCTCCCTATTAAGAAACAATCATTTAAGACATTTTTAAAAGGACATAAAATGTAAAATTAAAACAAGATAAAGAAAATGGTTTTTACAATACACCCTATATATACTAAATGTATGTAAAAAGAGATACAACTTACCCTGATACAGCTGAAACAACAAAGCTTGGAGCAATGAGGACACAGGCGTGCATCCCGCAATTTCTCCATACAAATGAAACATCGGAAAACATCAGCAATGCTCTGAAAATAATAGATATAAGGTTCACCAGATTACGCTACTGAATCATGAGTAAAAGGCATGCTTGCAATAATTCACCTGACAATTACATTTATTTGGGGTTGATAACATCCCAGTTTTAACTATATTCCGTATCAGGACTTGGTTAGTCAAGGTCCAGGGTACCTCAGAACATCTCCTGGGAAAAAAATGCTTCCTTTTTTCTAAGCTTCACAGTGGTTCTAGTCTAAGAAAAGAATATGGAATGCAAACACAGACATGCACAAATATTTTCACGGAAACATCAATTATAATGGCAAGAATCTGGCTATAGCCCAAACGTCAAAATATTAAGTTACAGGAGTTAACATAGACTATGATAGTCACAGAAATATTTTTGAATTGTTTAATGATCAAAAAAAACCCTTATGATGTGTGACAGTAAGGAAAAAAAAGGCAAACTGTGACTGTATGAACACTATGAACTTGTGACTTTTTCTGCAATTTCCCCAAGGGGGATGCACTGCTTTTATAATTTAAGTATAAAAAGATACATTAATGGCAGCATACTTTGATCAAGAGAGAAACAATGTAATTCAGAATCCATAAATCTGAATTTCTGCTCTGAATTTCTGCCATGCTGCTGCAACCAACTAGCTACTTATTTGAGCCTGAAATTCTGTCCGTATGGAGAATTTTGGTGGTAGCTCTATGAAGGCTTTGGGAAGAAAAAAAATACGTAAACAGAAGAAGCAGTATTATCTTTGCCAGCCTCAGATGAATCCATTTAGGCAGTATCTGACAAGAAAACAGATATAATTAAATGTAGGTTATTATATATTTTAAGTTTATTTTTACAGTACTCACATTTATTTTTACTCCATTCCAGAGGAATTAAACTCTTCTAAAACCAAGGTAAGGTTACAAAACTTTTATAATACTTTTACATGAGGAATTAAGGAGAAAATTACTCACGAGTCTAACCATGACTCTGCAGGACCAGAAAGAATCTGTGAGATGCAGACGTTGGGGGATGGGGGGTACGGCGGGGGAAAATACGACCATTGGATGAACTAGTTTCAAGTGGAGTGCCCAGGTAATATAGCTGTTCCTTATCAACGATTTAGTATTTTAGTAATTGCAAGGTTCAAGTCTTGACAATTATTATTATTATACAATTATGTCCAATAAGCAATCATTTTTAAGTTCCTAGCATTAACGTAAATACCCCAAACGTTTGAAATCATCGTTTACAAGAGTCATATATAAAAAGAATAGGTTGCTCTGGAAAACTACAGTCAAACAGGATAGTAAAATTATATCCTCAATCAACCTAGGAAGGGCAGATGTCTACAAAATGTACCGCTGGGAGGGAATGATTATCCATTCAGAGGGAGATTTGGATCCGCGCAAAAACTCGTAAGAACTGGTGGCGAGTCGCAGCGCACGTCCGTCTAAAGAATCTGCAGTTCTGCTCTGCACAGGCTGTAGTTTGCAGAAACCCTGTGGGGATGAGTACCCGTGCCAAGACATCCTGAAAACGCCAGGATACGCACCACCTGACTGCGGGTCAGAGCACAGGGCAGCCGGAGGGCTGCAGAACGAGCACGGCGTCCTCTGCACTGGGCCAGCCCCCTCCACAAAGGCAGCGGCGGGGTGGGGGGACTAGGGCAAGACGTCCTACGAGAGGGTGGACTAAGGCAAAGCGCCTCGAATAAAGAACGCTCAGCGGGTGGCGAGGGAGACTAAGCACCACCTTCCTCAAGCCCCCTCACCTCCACGCTCTGTTCATCCATTGCCTCCGGCTCTCGGCGGGGCGCTCGGCGACCCGCGGAGTCCGTGGTCTGACCTGTTAGGCGCCGGCCTGAGGTCACCAAGTCAAATCGCCGCGGAGAACAGCCGGGCGCCTACATCAGGGGTCTCCGACCACCGCCCCACCTGCGTGCCCCATCGCTTCGGGCTCGGCGCCAGCTACCCACACTTCGCCATTTTTATCCGCGCGCCAGCCCTAGGGCGCAGTGGGAGGGTGAGCGGTAGCCACAAGCTTCTTTCCTCCCGGCTGAGCGGCCCGCCAGCGACCGAGCAGGAGCCTTGCCCACGTGACGCGGGCGCGCGCCTATCAAACCGCAGCTGAAACCCGGCGGCGCTGGTCTTCCGCGACTCAGTTGCCGCTGGGAATTCGCAAACACCAACGGTAACCACGGTAGCGGAAGGTGCGGTGTGAGAAAAGGCGCGGCCCGCGTGCACGCATGCGCGCAGGCCGCAGCGCTAAGGGAGCGGACCAGCGGCGGGCGCCTAGTTCCCGCGGTGCAGGGGAGCACACGAGATTTGGCCGCTGGCTGCTGCAGAGTTGCGTGCCTTCGGCCCGTGTTAGCGCAGGCGGAGGAGGGCGCGGCGCTTGACCGCGCCCCGTTTCCCTCAGGGGAGGGGCGGCGCTCTACCCGTCTCAAACTTTCGCGCGCCAAAGGCTGGAGCCATCTGGAGGGTTTGTGGGAAATGCAGACTCCGGAGCAACACCCCTAGGTATTCGGACTCCGTGATTCTAGGGTGGGGCTCCACGAAATCGTTTTCAACAAATTCTCTCGGTGATTTGGCTGCAGGTGGCTTGTGGTCCGCACCTTGAGAAACTGTGGTGCAGAGGATTCGTGGCTAGTGCTGCTTTCTCGGGGAGCAAGCCCAGATTCTCAGGTTTTTAAGACTTCCGCCCCACGTACGGAAGCAAAGCTCCAGATTGTGAAGCTTAGAGCGGTAATTTCAGAGTCGGGAGTGGGAGGACGGGACCACGGACGGTGTAGACGTCAGACCCACACCCAACCACAGTCGCCCTGCATTGCTTGGGGCTCGAGGTGAGCTATCGCCCTGAGACTGTGGAAAGTGCAAGAGTATCAGCTGTATTCAGCTTTCCCATATTGGCGTCTGCTTTCTACAGTTTTCTAGCGTAAGAAATGTTTAAAGATTGCAGAAATTGAAGGTGTGAGGCAAAGGATGTACATCAAATTCTTGAGTTTAATTTTTCCTTTCCAGTTTATTGCAAACAACTGTTACACTTAACGGAAAGTGAATGCACCTGAAAAGAATCAACAATTATCTAGGAAGAATTTCTTAAATATCAAAGCATTTGGACTTTCTTATAAGTAGTGGGCATAACAATTTTTTTTAACTCCATGAGCCATGTACAAAGATATAATTTAGGAATATTGTGCCTGAAAAAATTCTTTCAGCAAAAATTATTTATGGTCTTGGAACTACATAGAGGTGACAGTTGCACATCTTTTATACTAAAATGCCCTCAGTTGTACATTTTAATAATGGCAAATGGTTAATTTTATGGTATGTGAATTTTACCCCAATTTAAAAAGTTACTTGGGAAACACGGTACTATACTACTTGGGACTCAAAGGGTAATGAGAAGTGGTCTTTGCAACCCAGCATAGCAGAAAGCAAATAGGTAAAATTACAATGTATGATAAATATTAAAATAGGTTCTTGTACTAATAGATATATTTGCCCAAGAGCCCCAAAATGTTTAAAGATTTATTGCCATAGTTCATAACAGTGGAAAATTAGAAAACCCGTACAACTAATTAGGGGTCATTGCTTGCAAGCACTGTCAGATTCTGGCTAACTAAGCAAAAAAGGAATTTAGTTGGCAGGATGCTAAACTGCTGTGTGTCGTTGAGAAACCTGTCATGTGCTCTATTAGAATTCCTTAAGGAAAGGCTGACCTTGCCATCCTCCTTTACCCACCCTCCAAATCTCCTAATTTGTGTATTATACAGCTTAAACGCCTATAAAAGAGGAACTGGTAAAAATTATGGTAAATTTATATATACAGCTGTTCAAAAGAATGATATGAAGATACCAAAAATATTTTTAAGATAAAAAAAGGGTGCAGCTGCAGTACAGTATGTAGTATCAGCCTATTTTTGTTTAAAATGTTTTTTAATTTGTATACATGTAGAAACATCTAAAAAGTTGCAGTTATTTGGGAGAATAAGCATACTTATATTTTTTTAATTTCTTAAAATTAAAGTTGTGTTTAAAATACAACCTAATTAAAATTAATTTGTATCACAACTTAAGACATAAAAACACTAGTAGTCACATAGGAGAAAACAATTATCCAGATGAGAAATAAAAAAGGTCTAAATTAGGTAGTAAGAGTGAAGGTAAAGTGAAGGTTGGATACAACAAACATTTCAAAGAATTATAGATTTCAAAGAATTATAGATTATAGAATTATAGATTTTATTAACTAAGAAGATAAAGGGATGCAAACTTTAATGCCAGCTAACAGAATAGTTGCTGTTAACAAAATAAGAAAATCTGTTAAGTATTCTGGACATGTTCAATTTGAATATTCAGGTAGAGGTTTTTATTGGAAATTTGGATCTAGGTCTAGTGAAATAAGTTATACTTGGGAATCATTCCCCAAAAGGGCAATAAATGAACCTTGGGAAATAAATGAATATATAAACAAGAGCAATTTTAAGAGGGATGAGGGGAAGAACCAACATTTAGAAGGTAACTTGTGAAGGAAGTCATAGACGAAAAACAGTACAATCTAGTTTTTTTTCTGATTGAAAGCAAAACCCTGTAACACCAGTAACTTGTTAAGACCTCTTCATGATAACCACCATTTTTCAATATCACCATCACCATCACATCCCAGAGCCATACCATGACAGGAACTTCCTCAATATTCATTGCCTGAGTACTGAAGAAAAATAGTATCTGTTACTAAGGTGTGACTTATTTATCTGTAATTTAAAAGGGGGGGGGGTTACTTTCTGTTCTCCAGATATTCAGAAGAGACAAGACAATTTTAACTGAAGCTACTCTTCCAACCCTGTCTGTCAGCTATTATAAGTTTGTTAATAACATAACAGAAAAAATTCTTTTAAAATTACATTAAAGTATAATTCTATAACCTGTAAAACTAACATTTGATACACTTTTCCTAATCTTTCAATGCCTTGTTTTTATGACATATATAGAAATATTTATTGAAGGACTACTAAATATCAAACGCTAATACTTTACCATCTTATTGTGCTTCCAGCCATCCTGACACACACAAGTCAAGTGGTTTGCTCAGGGTCGTACAGCTAGAATTTAAAACCTGTGTTTACATATCCGGTATGAGTCCAAAGCCCAATCTTGACGACAAAGCTACAATATCTGCTTCTCCTCTTACCTATTTAGCATAGCTTTAACATTTCCCAGAACATTAACAGTAATAATTTACTGGCAACCTGACCTTCTGTTGTATAGATATACCATGATTTACTTTCATATTTACTTGCCATTAGTTTTTTTCTTTTTTTTAATAGGGAAGTTGACACGCGCGCGCGCACACACAAAACAAACTGGCAAGTAGCGGTTGTCAGTGATCCTCTCATTTCAGTTTCTTAGCTTTCATATACAGTAGAATGAACAATTACAGTAATATAGACCAGAGGAGAACAAAGGTAGTATTGAAGTATAACAGGGACAACCTAAAACAGCGTTTGAAAGCAGAGCTCATGCTGCTCAACATTAGCAGGAAGAAGGAATAGGACAAAAATAAAAGTGAGGCTGTCACAGAAAAGCCAGCTTATTACTAAGTTAGGTTTTATGGGAGACTGTTAAGTCACACATTAGCAGTCTCACAAATAATGTGACCACATCTGCAATCAGAATTTTCAATAATAAAATTATATACATATATATAACATAATACAAATTTTTTTTCTATCCTTTAATTTCCAAAGCATGTTCATTCACATTTGACTGACTGGTGGTACATAATTTTCTTTTACAATAGGCCAGGACATCTGTGTTATCCTGATTATACAAAAACAGATACAAAATGGTGTTGAGACTTGCCTGAAATTACAAGACTAAGTGTATACGCATATATATTTTTAAATCTCTTTATTTCCATTCCATCCCTTTGGCTGAACATTATGAGTACAGTATCTGCCCTTCTTCTTGTATTCCCCTCTCTCGTGGAAGGCATCACTATCCAGTAACCCAAGCCAAATCTCCTTTGTCATCCCCCCACCAACAGTAATCAAATGCTAACAAGACAGCTTCCTAAATCTCTCTGGAATTGATCTCTTCGCCATTAGAGTTCCCTTTTGCAAGTCCATTTCTTCATCATAAGTCTGACATGTGAGCTCTTAATTGCTCTGCCGCAGTTTTCTCTTCTTCAGTCAGTGGCAACAGCTACAAAACAAATGACAAAATCTTTATTTCAAAATCCCTTAAAACAACAAGGTCCTACTGTATACCACAGGGAACTATATTCAATATCCTGTGATAAATCAGGATGGAAAAGAATATGAAAAAGAATGTATATATGTATATAACTGAATCACTATGCTGAAGAGCAGAAATTAACACATTGTGAATCAACTATACTTCAATAAAATTTTTTTTAATTAAAAAAATCTTTAAACACTGCTAAATTAATTTCTGCTTTGTTACACCAATAAATGTTTCCATAAGTTCATACTATGTATATAATCACAAATTTAGGAAGGCAAGGAAAAAGTACATATTGGCTATCTATATACAAGCTACTTTGATGTTTGAGTTTCCAAAGAACTTGCAATTAAATTGAAGAAACAAGACCAAGAAATCAAACAATTTAAGGACAGTAATTTAACAGAACCAAGGAAGTCACATTTGAACAGCATATTCTAAAAGTACTTTGAAAAAGAAGTGGGAACAAAAATAGTCTGGAAGTTTCTTCAGAAGTAGAGATTTGGGTTAAATTTTGAAGGATAATTAAGATGCTTTTATCTGCAAGTAATAGAGACACATTTGAAAATGGATAAATAAGAAAATGTATTATCATTGCACAATAAATACAGAAGGGCAGGTTTCAGGGCTGGTTTATGCTCAACAATGTAAGGACTCAGTTTTTTCCATCTAACAGCTCTGATATCCTTGATGGTGGCTTTATCCTCAAGCTGACAGGAAAATGGCTCTAGCGGTGCTAGGTATCACATCTGTACACAATGTTTAGAAGAAGTAAAGCTTTCTCTTCCCAGGGTTCTCTCAGCAGTGGGGAAACTCTTCCTAATTTCCTACTTTCAGACTTTCCCTCCTCATATGTCATTTGCATTACAAACCTATTCCTGAACCAATGTTAGTTAAAGGAAAATCCATTCCCCTTGCAAATCAGGCACACCCCCTGAAGCTGAGGATAGCAGCAACTTTACCTCAGGCCTGAGCCTGAGGAATGGCACACATCTCAAGAGAGTCAGTAATCTTTTAGGCAGGAAGAGAGAACAGATGCTGAGAAAACAACCAGCAAACAGAATTCACAAAAGCAGGTAGAAGGACTACTAAACAGCAAAAGGGAAGGGGACTTCCCTGGTGGCGCAGTGGTTAAAAATCTGCCTGCCAATTCAGGGGACACGGGTTCAAGCCCTGGTCTGGGAAGATTTTCACATGCCACAGAGCAACTAAGCCCATGCGCCACAACTACTGAGCCTGCGCCTAAAGCCCACGAGCCACAACTACTGAAGCCCACCCTCTGCAACAAGAGAAGCCACCGCAATGAGAAGTCTGCGCACCGCAACGAAGAGTAGCCCCTGCTCGCCGCAACTAGAGAAAGCCCACGCTCAGCAACGAAGACCCAACGCAGCCAAAAATAAATAAGTATAATATTAAAAAACAAAAAACAAAGAAAAGCCGAAGGCAAGTTGTAAGGGGCTTTCACGGAGCACCAACAAACAGGCTAGCTGAAACATAGGGTTAATGAGGAAATAATAGGAGGTAGGACCTGAAGAATCACTCAAATAGTTACAAATCTGCTTAACTATATAGGTCATCTCTAGAGAGACTGCCAAATCTGGAACACCTCGTACCTACAGAATCAGAAGCTCTAGGGCAACGCTGTCCAATAGAACTTGCTGTGATGCTGGAAATATTCTGTATCTGCACGGTCCAATCAGTAGACGAAGGACTGAATTTTTAATTTTATTTAATTACTTTTAATTTTAATTTATATAGCCACATGAGGCCATTGGACACCCCACCTGGTTTCGTTTATCAAGCCATCATTTGCCCAAAATGTTCACATGGATAAAATGAAAAACAATCATAGGCCTTACTGCAGCCCAAATAGTAACAGAATTTCCCTCTTCTGTCTCAAAAACAGGAAATGGCATTATTCTGGCAAGACTTTGTTCTCCATGAATCCATGTTTCTCATTGTGATCTCTGAAATTCAGAGAGATTTCAGACCATCTGTTTATAAAATAAAACTTCAAAGAGGTTTTCCAGGAGTTAACTAGTCTAAAATGTGTAGAAATTTTTCTTCTTTAATACAAATGTTTCAGAGCATCGATGGAATACCATACATTCTATCTTTAATGCCTTTTTAATTTTCTGTTTATTGCTATACTTTTGTTTGGGAGGGGTTGTTTTGCTATCTTCTATTTGGAACAAGTTTAGTCCTTTTTTTTCTTTTGATGGTCACCTTTACAATTAACTATATTTAAACCTCAGTGTCTTAACAGCAACTAAAAAGATCAGGAAATTAATACGCATTCCCTTCCTTCCACCTCCTTTTCTGTTCTTACCTCCCTATTTATTTATTTATTTATTTATTTTTGCGGTACGCAGGCCTCTCACTATTTGTGGCCTCTCCCGTTGTGGAGCACAGGCTCCGGACGCGCAGGCTCAGCGGCCATGGCTCACGGGCCCAGCCACTCCACGGCATGTGGGATCTTCTCGGACTGGGGCACGAACCCGTGTCCCCTGCATCGGCAGGCGGACTCTCAACCACTGCGCCACCAGGGAAGCCCCCCTATTTATTTTTTACTATTACCAATTCAAGTTTTTTTAATTCAAATATACATTTTCTGTCCTTCCAAATGAAAAACCACTCAACTTGATAAAAATCATAGCAAGATAATAACTGAACCATTTTACTTTGTTTGCTTTCTTTTGTTTATGAACAAAGGACCATTTGCCCTAAGTAGAGATCCCTTTCTTGTTCTTCATGTTCCCAAAATAATTTTAAAAGCCCTTTTGGTTATTTTAGAAGTTTTCAGAATCCTCAGCTCAATCTAGCCTTTGGCTTTCTTAACTATTCTCACAGTTCTGACCATATGTCTAATATACCTCTTTTTATACTTGAAATTCCTTTACACTCTGGGCTCATAGAACTATTTTTGGTTATATAACTCTCTATAGATGCCATTCCCTTTTCTTCCACATTTTGATCATAAAAATTTTCTCTTGGGCTTCGCTGGTGGTGCAGTGGTTGAGAGTCCGCCTGCCGATGCGGGGGATGCGGGTTCGTGCCCCGGTCCGGGAGGATCCCACACACCGCGGAGCGGCTGGCCCCGTGAGCCAAGGCCGGTGGGCCTGCGCGTCCGGAGCCTGTGCTCCGCAACGGGAGAGGCCACAACAGTGAGAGGCCCGCGTACTGCAAAAAAAAAAAAAAAAATTCCCTTAATTTTCTACTGCTATCTCATTTTTAAACTAGTGGGTATAAGACCCACTATATTCAACATTTCCCAACTTGGCTATCATTGATTCTAAAATATGATCTCCTTTTTCAAGGTTTATAACCTGCCTTTCAGTCATTTCTCCTTATTTGTCATCATCTGATCCAAAGTGAAAACCCTTAGCTTCCTACCTTTGATATAATTATTCCTCATTTCAGATACTTCTTTTAACTAAATGAAGACTTTTATAGATATTTAAATGATTTGACATCCCCTATCACTATCATAACTACTTTTCTGTACCACTTTTTTAATCTCAGAAATATGCCATTTATTTATTGTATCTAATGGAGACAATTTTTAGTAAATATTCAAAAAATCATTTTTCTCTTTCATTTTTCTCTTTACTCACCCAAATTTATTGTGCTTCAATAAATTCATGGATTTCTATACATATATGTTGATATATACATCCAGAACTACTCTTAGTCTCTCCTTCAAGATTTGTTTCCTTAGAACAAGTTTTGTGCTTCTGTTGTCAGGCTCTGATCACATGTACAATGAAGAATATGTGACTTGATTTTATTTATAAAGGTTATTACATCTTTTTTGCATTTTATTTATTAGCAGGTGACGCCACCCATACTGTTTAAATTCCTGCTCCCTATTCCCTCTGTGCCCTTTTTAATTGCCCTCCCCTCTTCCACTATTCATTTCTCCATGACATGCATTTAAGGTGTCATTTTACGATTTTTACCCAGGCACTGTTCTCTTTTCCTCCATTGGTAACATAAAGAATTCTTGATCAAATTAACCTGGGTAATCAACCTTTGAGATCTACTCTTGCTGCAAGCCTATAATTCAAGTAACTTAAGCCATAATTTAGTTCAGACTTGGCAAATAAATACCATGTATGCTGCCCCTAGCAGCATGCCACAGCAGATAGCTTTTTTGCCATGCCCAGACACAGCTCCTTAATACAGCATTCTAAGCAGGTGTTACCAGTTAACTGATTGGAGTTAGCACCAGAAATTAAAACCTATTGGACATCTTTTGTCCAGATAATTAAATTCAACTCTATGATTCCATCTACATTAGGCTATCTTTTCTTTCAAAAGCCCTCACCTTTGCATTGTAAATGAAAATGCGAGCAAACTCTTCAATTGGCTGTTCGAGATCTCAGTGCCTAGGTCAGCAGTTCATATTCTTTTTCCTACTCCAACATATCTAAAGAGTTTTACACATCAGTGATAGAGGATTACACTAAATGAGATTCTTACAGTAAATGAGAAGGGGGTGCAGAATGGAGGAAGAGGATGAAGGTCAGGCTTACCCAAGTCCACCAACCCAACTGAAGAAAAGGAGAACTAAAAAATAGTCACTGGTATAGATGCTTTCTAGATTTCTCAGTCTCACTAGTTCTTACAGGAACCAGCAGAACTGGTAGATTTAATAAGTATTAGGAAGATTTCTCTTCTGCCATGGCTACATAATCCAAGACAGCATACCTCTTCATTAACCATGTCAAGTCCACCTGCTCATTTTAAAATAAAAGGAGGGAGACTTCCCTGGTGGTGCAGTGGCTAAGAATCCACCTGCCAATGCAGGGGACACGGGTTCGATCCCTGGTCCGGGAAGATTCCCACATGCTGCAGAGCAACTAAGCCCACGTGCCATAACTACTGAAGCCCAGGTGCCTAGAGCCCGTGCTCTGCAACAAGAGAAGCCACTGCAATAAGCCTGCGCACCACAACGAAGAGTAGCCCCGCTCACCGCATCTAGAGAAAGCCCGCGCACAGCAAAGACGACCCAACACAGCCAAAAATAAATTAAATTTATAAAATAAAGAAGATGAGCGCTATTATACTTCAGGGAATCAGGAAAATCTCATTTCTATCAACAGTTCCAACTGCTGAATTTCAAAATGAGAGTTACTGGGGATTTATCTTTCAAAGAGAAATTCAGAATTAAAATTCTACAAATCCAACTGGTCAATTGAAAGCATTACCTTCAGGTCTGTTTGCTTTTGTAGTTCTTGTATCAAGGTCATAGTCTTATTGAAAGTAGCACAAATGCGGCTCTTAGTCTCTTTATGCTCGACAGCAATTGGTTTAAAGCGTGCATGCAAAGTTTGATATCGAGACTTTATTGCTGACAATTCCTTTAAGAGTGTAACAGGATTTTTCTACATCAGGAAAAAAATTAATATATATTAAACCTGGAAAGGAAAAATTAAGCTTCTTTTAAGAATTAAAATATATACAGCACATTCTACCATCCATTTAATAGAACACTGTATTTAATACACAACTATGGGACAGAGGATGGGAGGAAGGAAAAAAGAGAGAAGTATAAGACCTACATCCTATTCTCAAGGAATTTAAAGCCTAGGCACAGAAATAACCCCTCCCCTGCACACACACACACACACACACACACACACAAAACAGCAATATTAAACAGCAAATAAGGTCACATCAGATATGTAATATTTGATGTATAGCTCACAATAATTAATTACACCATACTTCTAAAATACAGTTCTAAATGTTATTATACAGAAGGTGATTTAAGGAACTATTTTGATTTGTTGAATAAGACAACTTGAAACCACTTAGGATGAAATTCTTTTTTAATTAATTTATTTATTTTTGGCTGCATTGGGTCTTCATTGCTGCACACATGCTTTCTCTAGTTGAGAGCGGGGCTACTCTTCGCTGCCGTAAGCGGGTTTCTCATTGCGCGGCTTCTCTTGTTGCAGAGCACAGGCTCTAGGCGCGCTGGTTCAGTAGTTGTGGCTCACGGTCTCTAGAGTGCAGGCTCAGTATTTGTGGCACACGGGCTTATTTGCTTCGTGGCATGGGGGAACCTCCCGGACCAGGACTGGAACCCGTGTCCCCTGCATTGGCAGGCAGATTCTTAACTACTGCACCACCAGGGAAGTCCTGAAATTCTTAAATACGCTGTCATGTGGCTAAAGTATGTATGAGCACCAATTCACTGACCTCACTATACAAAATGCATGCCAACTCAAGCAACTATATTTATAAATTACATTAGTTTTTCAAATTCATTTTGGAATATAAACCACTATTCCATAAAAGACATTTCAACTGGGTGCTTTCTGCCACTTGGTTATTCTTTTCATTCCCTGGTGGTTTCTTAGCAAACCCTCCAATACTAGCTATTCCAAACTTTCTCCACTCCCTCCAGTTCCCATCCACCCCTTCTTGGCAAAATACCTCACCCCAACTACTTTACTGAGAAGACAGAAACCATCTAGGAGTTTCTACTCCTGCGTTTTCACTGAAAATGAAAACACTGTGGACATTCTGATCCTTACTTAGCCCCTAACACTACCACTATTTTTAAAAATAAATTAGTTTATTTATTTATTTTTGGCTGCATTCGGTCTTCTTTGCTGCACACGAGCTTTCTCTAGGGGCAGCAAGCGAGGGCTACTCTTGGTTGTGGTGCGCAGGCTTCCTATTGCTGTGGCTTCTCTTGTTGCGAGGCACAGGCTGTAGGGACACAGGCTTCAGTAGTTGCAGCACGCAGGCTCAGTAGTTGTGGCTCTCGGGCTCTAGAGCGCAGGCTCAGTAATTGTGGCGCAGGCGCCTAGTTGTTCCACGGCATGTGGGATCTTCCCGGACAAGGGCTTGAACCCGTGTACCCTGCATTGGCAGGTGGATTCTCAACCACTGTGCCACCAGGGAAGTCCCACTACCACTATTATTGTTGTGTCCTCCCCATATCCTCCAGAACCTTAAATTTCCTATATTTCAATAACCTTTTCATACCTCCCTCTATACAGACCTCAAATATATATAAATTTTCCCCATACTGAGGGGAAAATTAACTCTTCTCTTGACTCTGTTGCAATTCAAAACCAGTTTCATTTTTCTTACTTCATTTGCCACCAACCTTCTAGGTCCTATAATAATACATTTCCTAGGCCTTTTAATAAAAAATAGCCCTGGGACTTCCCTGGTGGCACAGTGGTTAAGAATCCACCTGCCAATGCAGGAGACACGGGTTCAAGCCCTTGTCCGGGAAGATCCCACATGCTGTGGAGCAGCTAAGCCTGTGCGCCACAACTACTGAGCCTGCGCTCTAGAGCCTGCGAGCCACAACTACTGAGCCTGTGGGCTGCAATTACTGAAGCCCATGCCCCTAGAGCCCGTGCCTCGCAACAAGAGAAGCCACAGCAATGAGAAGCCTGCGCACCGCAACCAAGAGTAGCCCCCGCTCACCGCAACTAGAGAAAGCTCTGCGCACAGCAACAGAGACCCAAAGCAGCCAAAAATAAATAAATAAATAATAATAATAGAAGACCCCATAGACCAGAGTCCTTTGCCAAATTATTTTACACAATCAAAAAGTCAAACTTGCTCTATAATTTTGATATCCCTCTTTTTGCCTCTCCTTATTTCTTTCCTATTCTAATCTTCTTAAACTGAACTCTTGATTTCCACAAAACAATAGTATCTTGGTTATCTTCCCACTCTTCAAGTATCTCCTTTGTGGACCCTACCTCATGGCTATAGTCAGAGGCTCAGTTCATGGCCCTCTACTCCCCTCTTCTTTGGCGATTGATAAATAAAGGTGATTCTAACAGGAATGAATAAGAACAGAAAATCTAACTTAAAGACTGTTAAAATAACTCTGCAGAGAGTGACCAAGACCTATGGCATGAAGAGTAGAAGCAGGAAAAGGACAAAAGAGACACCATAAAAAAGTTAAGAAAACTTATAGTATGTTTGATATGGGCAAAGAAATATAGATGACACCAAATGTATAGTCTGGCAAATACTGTATATTAAGATGCCTTTTGGGATATCTACTCAGTAAACACCCCAATGACACTGAGACCTGTACCCTAACCCTTCATTTCTCATAATGTATCTAGACATTCTAAGAGATTGCCAGTAGAAAAACTGGAAAATACAGTCCAAAAAATATCCTAAAAAGGAGGGGGGAAATAGACAAAATTGAAAGATAAGAAAAATAGAGGATAGATTCAGGAAGTCCAATATTTCAGTAATGGGAAAGGCCACAAAAGAGGATTTCTTTTCTTATGAATATATGGGTAAGAAAAGTGATATGACTTTAGATTCACGTGTTTCATATTTAAAGAGCCCCACCAACTGACAGCACAGTTAATGAAAAAACCTATATCATAATCATAAAATAATTATAAAATTTCACAGCATAGATAAAATATTCTTAAAGTTCCAAAACAGATAGGTGTGCTGCAGGATTTGGGGGCGGGGTGGGGGGGGATGGAAGGTATAAAATAAGAAGGAAGACAAATACAACTGATCAGGAATTAGAATGGCATCTATTTCTCAACAAGAACACTGGAAGCTAGGAAACCACAAAACCATGATTTTAAAATTAAGAGAAAATAATCTCTAACCTAGAATTCCATACTCAACCAAACCATCCATCAACTAAAGGATTAAATAAGGGTTAAGTAAATACATTTTCAAACATCTGACATCTCAAAGAGTGAAATATATGATCCAAACTAAAGGGAGTAAAACAAAGGGAATTACCAAAATTATGGTAAAGAAATTCCCAGCCATGCAGGAAGCCTGTAGAGCCAAAGGTTAGATTGGAGCAAGAGGACAGACAGCACACAAGGGATGTGGAAGAAAATGAAACTTAAGGATCATGTGATGTGTCTGACAATGTTGACAGGAGTTTAACAGTTCTGGTAGAAAAGTCTGAGGCTGAATTAATGATAAATGCATAGAAAAACTAAGAAAATTGAAGGGGAAAAAAAGAAAACAATTATTAGCTCCAGAAAAACAAGTTGTGTAAGAAAGGAAAAGCAAACATAGTATATTGCGCGACTTGGATAAAAGCAATATTTGCAGAGCCATAATTACTGTGATCTGAATGTGTCCCTGCAAAGTTTATTTGTTGAAACCTAACCCCCAAGGTGATGGAATTAAGAGGTGGGATCTTTGAGAGGTGATTATGTTATGAGGGTACAGCCATCACGAATGGGATTAGTGCTCTGATAGAAGAGACCTTAGAGAGATCTTCCCCTTCTGCCATTTAAGGATACAACCAAAAGTCTGCAACCCAAAAGAAGGCCCCAGGGCTTCCCTGGTGGCGCAGTGGTTGAGAGTCCGCCTGCCGCTACAGGGGATACGGGTTCGTGCCCCGGTCTGGGAGGATCCCGCGTGCCGCGGAGCGGCTGGGCCCATGAGCCATGGCCGCTGGGCCTGCGCGTCCGGAGCCTGTGCTCCGCAACGGGAGAGGCCACAACAGTGAGAGGACCGCGTACCGCAAAAAAAAAAAAAAAAAAAAGTACCCAGTCTACTATTTTGTTATAGCAGCCCCCAAAACAGACTAAGACATAATAATATAAACAAATACTGAATGATATATCCAGAAATTGTGAAGATGAGGATACTTATGGATAGTAAAGTATTTAATCTTTATCTTCAATAACAGGAAGTTATTAATAATAACAGCTAAAATATATCGCATATTCTGGACCAAACAGTTCTAAACACATTATGTATATATATAATTTTATTCTCTCTTAACCTACAAAGTAGGCAGTAATAAACCATTTTATAGACGAGGAAACTAAGTACAGAGAGGTTAAGTGACTTGCCTAAGATCACAATGCAGAGCTGGGATTTGAACTAGAATAGTTTGTATCCAGGAAATCAGTAGATTTTTCAGATCAGAGGAAAAATAGCAATACAAGCATACTACTTAGAAATATAGAGGTAAATACAAGAAGATGCTGAAATAAAAGTGTGAAACAAGGAATTACTATTTGTAACTATGTACTTCTGTGACTTTTCTAATTATTTATAAAAATTAATTTGACAGAAATATAAGTTTCAGGTTGGGAGGAAAATTGATTTGAGGGTAGAGGACATCAACTGTGAGACGGCAGGGGATCAGGCAATTATAAATGATCTTTAGAATGGAGCTCAGTAGTGAATTGATCAGAGAACTGTACATATAAACCATAAGAATAACGAATTCCCCAAATATTGATACAAATTTATAGGGGAAAAAAATGTGTTAAGAACTAATCCTGATGATCTCCCATACTAGGAAAAAAGAAGGAATTGGTGAATAAGGTGTAAGGAATAAACAGCCATAGAGCTAAGAGTTAACGTAGGGTAGTCAGTCAATTACCCATACTACGTGTTTTGTGACAGTAACTGGGTCTAGTAAAATTGAGATGGCAATGATTAACTCAGGAAACGTGATTTTAGGACTTAGCACCACACCACAGAGGAAAACATTATTGTGCACACAGCCTGTTTTGAGTGACTGGCTTCTTGGGAGCCACCGTGTTCTTTTATTAGTGTTTGCAAACTATTCTGCACTTTATTTAATTTTGTGCCTATAACATTTCAATTCGTTTTAGGGTTTTATTTATTATAAGTGGGTGATCACTTTTGGTAGCTCACAAAAATATCCAAGAAGTGTTCTGGTTATGACAGTGCTAGTGATGAGGAAGAAGAAAAGCCAATATGTGAGCAAAAAACTAAGTCTTTTGAAAGAAACAAAAGGAAACATGCCATTAATTGTGTTACTAAATTTAAAAGAACCTACAGGACTTCCCTGGTGGCACAGTGGTTAAGAATCCGCCTGCCAATGCGGGGGACACGGGTTCGAGCCCTGGTCCAGGAAGATCCCACGTGCCGCAGAGCCAATAAGCCCATGTGCCACAACTACTAAGCCCATGTGCCACAACTACTGAAGCCCACACGCCTAGAGCCCATGCTCCCTCTGCAACAAGAGAAGCCACTGCAACGAGAAGCCCGCGCACTGCAACAAAGAGTAGCCCCTGCTCGCCACAACTAGAGAAAGCCTGCGTGCAGCAACAAAGACCCAATGCAGCCAAAAATAAATTAATTAATTAAAAAAAAAAAAAAGAGGGCTTCCCTGGTGGCGCAGTGGTTGAGAGTCCGCCTGACGATGCAGGGGACACGGGTTCGTGCCCTGGTCCAGGAAGATCCCACATGCCGCAGAGCAACTAGGCCCGTGAGCCACAACTACTGAGCCTGCATGTCTGGAGACTTGTGCTCCACAACAAGAGAGGCCATGATAGTAAGAGGCCCACGCACCGCGATGAAGAGTGGCCCCCGCTTGCCACAACTCGAGAAAGCCCTCGCACAGAAACGAAGACCCAACATAGCAATAATTAATTAATTAATTAATAAACTCCTACCCCCAACATCTTCTTTAAAAAAAAAAAAAAAAGGGCTTCCCTGGTGGCGCAGTGGTTGAGAGTCCCCCTGCCGATGCAGGGGACACGGGTTCGTGCCCCGGTCCGGGAAGATCCCACATGCCGTGGAGCTGCTGGGCCCGTGAGCCATGGCCGCTGAGCCTGCGCGTCAGGAGCCTGTGCTCCGCAACGGGAGAGGCCACAGCAGTGAGAGGCCAGCGAACCACAAAAAAAAAAAATAGTAAGATACATGGACCCCAATGTTCATAGCAGGACTATTTACAATAGCCACGACATGAAAGCAACCTAAATGTCCATCGACAGATGAATGGATAAAGAAGATGTGGTATATGTATACAATGGAATACTACTCATCCATAAAATAGAATGAAATAATGCCATTTGCAGCAACATGGATGGATCTAGAGATTATCATACTAAGTGAAGTCAGAAAGAGAAAGACATATCATGATACCAGTTATATGTGGAATCTAAAAAAAAAATGATACAAATGAACTTATTTACAAAACAGAAACAGACTCACAGTCATGGGAAACAAACTTATGGTTACCAAAGGGGAAGAGGCAGGAGAGGGATAAATTGGAAATTTGGTATTAACGGGTATATACTACTGTATATAAAATAGATAACAACGACCTCCTGTATAGCACAGGGAACTATACTCAATATCTTGTAATAACCTATAATGGAAAAGAATCTGAAAAAGAATATATATATATATATATATGTGTGTGTGTGTATGTAAAACTGAATCACTTTGCTGTACACCTGAAACACTGTAAATCAACTATATGTCAATTAAAAAAAAAAAATGCTAAGTGAAAGAAACCAGACATAAAAGGCCACATATTGTATGATTCCATTTATATGAAATGTTCAGACAGCAAATCTGTAGAGTTTTCAGAGACAGAAAGTGGATTAGTAGTTGTTGGGAGCTGGCCAGGGGCAGGAGAAGTGGTTGTTAATGGGGAGAAACAGCTAATGGGTATGGGTTTCTTTTTGAGGTGATGAAAATATTCAAATATTTATTGTGATGATGGCTGTACAGTATACTAAATTACTAAAAATTCCAATGAACTAAATATACTAAAAACCACTGAACTGTGTACTTTAAAAGGGTGAATTTCATGGTATGTGAATCATAGGTCAATAAAGCTGTTTAAAAAAAAAAGTTGTAGAAGAGAAAAACAACTGGAAGTGTAACTAAAATGAGAGATGGAAGGTGGAAGAAAAGGGGAAGCCCCACATGAAATGTTTTCCACATGGTACTCGAAAGATACTGACTCAGATGAGTGCTTTGGCCAATTAGGTGGTACCACTGGACCAGAATTGGTTGGTTGTTCTTCAGTAAAAGAGAAAAGAGGAAAAGACAAAGAAAAAGTCAAGTCAGTTAAGGAGGTAGAACAGTTAAAACTGTACTCCCATAGAATCCTGGCATTCCATTATTTCATGTAAAGCAGTAAAAACTGAACATTCACAATGCTTTCCCAATTTTATATAAAATGTTATTTTAATTTGCACTTCCACTCAATTCCTCCCAAATTTTAATTGTATAAATTTTTTGAGAAACAGTAAAATACGATATTTCTTGTCTGCTAGCAAATGCTATAAAAGATAAACATTAATGATTTAAGTGGTAAATTAATATTTTAAGTGCTAAATTAATTTTAGCAGACAATGCTTAAAAATTGTCTGCTTTATCTCTATAGATAGGCGTGTATACATGTAGTTATAATTTATGGCATATAAACAGATAATATTTCTAATCAACCTAAACTTAGAAATAACTAAGTACATAATTTTATGCAAAAATCACAGTTCATGTAATGAATTTAATAGTATATCATCATCTTCCTCAGAGAATATCATCACTGCTAGGATTTCTCCCCTCTTATTTAACCACTGCCCTAGAGGTATCTATATTCTCTCAGAATTTCAGAGGCTTCCATAGTGGTTTACACCTCTGGACTCAATAATTCTTATTTACGGGTTAAAAAAAAAAGAGGAGCCACAAATTTCCTTGACTATGGGTATAATCTCTACAATATTCTGTGACCAAGTTTCCAACACAAAAAAGATTCTATAAATTTAATAATGTAATTGTTATAATCTACTACTATTAGAAATACTATCAGAAAATCTTTTAATATAATATTCTGTTAAAAAAACATTTCTTTTTCAGATTACCTTGCCTGCTGAATCAGGATAATTAGTCTTGATTTCATATTCCAGCCTGTACTGAATGTAATCCAGATCAGAGTCAGCCTTCTGGAACTAAAGATCAGCAGAAATAATTATTTCATGAACTAAAATATGTATTACTAAACATGATACTGTATTCTTTTTTCTTTATATTTTCACATATTTTAATATGATATACACTGATTTTGAAAATATGGAAATAGAAAAGTATACAGAACCTCCATCATCTAGAATATTGGTCCCCAACCTTTTTGACACGGGACCGGTTTTGTGGAAGATGATTTTTCCACGGAATGGGGGAGTGGGCGGGGGTGGGGATAGGGGATGGTTCAGGCTATAATGCAAGGCATCCGCAGATGAAGCTTCGCTCGCCCACCGCACACCTCCTACTGTGCTCACCTAACTGTGCAGCCTGGTTCCTAACAGGGGGTTGGGGACCCCTGATCTAGAATACCCATGCTCTATTAAGAACTAGCAATGGCTTCAAGAATTCCCTAAGGTTACTAACACTCTCATCAAATAGGCAGTTTTTCTACCTCTGGTAGGATATGTGGTTTCAAATTAAAACACTGAACAAACTTATTTTCAGGGATACTCCGGCTGTTAACATAATTTGCAACCCCATTAACCAAAGAACTACAAATATGTGCCACACAGACCAAAATTGGAAGGCTTAAAGGGTCATAAATTACACAAAAAAAGCTACATTAATACAGGAGTAGCAGTCCGAAAAACTCCAATTTATTTAAACTGGGTCCTAGCGTGAGACCTTGATCTGCAGTAAACTTCTAAGAGAGAAAAAGCAGAAAACTGCCATAGGCTGTAAAATACTTGTGCCTACACAGAGAAACGTTGGGAAGGATATATATCAGGGTGTTAAAAGTGGTTTATTTCTGAATGTGATATAATCTACAAATTATTCTTAATTTGGGGGAATTCTACATCTTTTACTAGATCTTAAAGCATGTACTGCCTTGAATTTGTCAGGGAAACAACCACCATCCTTTGAGTTTACTGTGAAAGGCAAAACATGATTTCCTCAGGGAAGGTCTCCTGTTCATAGCCCACAGCTGAGAAGATTTTCTGACCTTTCTGTCAACTTAAGCTCTGGACTAAAGATTCCTTCTTGAAAATTTGGAGCCTTAATGGAAAAAGTATAAACCAACAAAAACTGTTAAAAGTAGTTCTCAGATCCAATGAGAAGCAGTATACAGATATTTTTATTATACAAAAAGTAAACCAAGGATTCTACTTTGGAAGGTAGAGTGAGGAAGAAAAAATGGCTCCCAGAAGTTAAAATGCTTCTGAAGTCAGAAGCTGTCACTATTGAACAGAATTTCAGAAAGAGATAAACTAAAGCTTCCATCACTAATAATTTCTCTCATCATTGGCCTAAATTTGATTGGAAAACTTTGCAATTAATAAAATTCTATCTTTATAACCAAAAACTTCTAGAGTAGAAATTGAAGAAAAGAGTCAGCCTTTGTTTTTAAAAATTTTCCAATAATCAGTATCTGATTTGCATCTCTAACAACAAGGAGTTGCTATGAGCCAGAAAAACAAATCTAGAAGTTCTCTATTTAAAAAGTGTTTATAATGTTTTCCAAAAATGGAGGCATTTCATTTGTCATATATACTTGTTCTATTAGCTGCCATGATTAAGCATATCAGTAATTACTATATATGTATGTGTGTATATATAAAGAATTTCCTGTTGGCATAATTCCCACATTAAAATATGCTCAAGAATTATCTTTTTCTTTATATAAAAAAGTACACTAACCTGTATGACATGTGGATGGAAAGTAGGGGGAGGGGATGGGGTAGAACAAATCAAATAAAGCAAAGGCTCTACACATTGAAGACCTGATTTGTTTTAATTATTGAAGTAGACCACAATTCTGTAGCTTTATGTATAATTCAAGGCCTGTATAACATGCTAAAGCATAATTTTAAATAAAAGTTTTTAAAACTTATTAAGTTACCACAAAATTCTTAGGATTATGGGATTTGTTGCTCCAGGGTTACCTTAAAATAGAATCTCTATTCTAGGAACCCTTGTTTATGGAACAGATATTCTTAAGCCTATGTTTTTGTGTTTTTTAATTAATTTATTTATTTTTGGCTGTGTTGGGTCTTCGTTGCGCGTGGGCTTTCTCTAGCTGCGGTGAGTGGGGGCTACTCTTCGTTGTGGTGCACGGGTGTCTCATTGCGGTGGCTTCTCTTGTTTTGGAGCACCGGCTCTAGGCGCAGCAGGCTTCAGTAGTTGTGGCACACAGGCTAAGTAGTTGTGCCTCACGAGCTCTAGAGCGCAGGCTCAGTAGTTGTGGCACACGGGCTTAGTTGCTCTGCGGCATGTGGGATCTTCCAGGACCAGGGCTCGAACCCATGTGCCCTGCATTGGCAGGTGGATTCTTAACACTGTGCCACCAGGGAAGTCCCAAGCCTATATATTTTTGTTTGTTTGTTTGTTTGCAGTATGCCGGCCTCTCACTGTTGTGGCCTCTCTCGTTGCGGAGCACAGGCTCCGGACACACAGGCTCAGCGGACATGGCTCACAGATCCAGCCGCTCCGCGGCATGTGGGATCCTCCTGACCAGGGAACGAACCCGTGTCCCCTGCATCGGCAGGCGGACTCTCAACCACTGCGCCACCAGGGAAGCCCAATGTTTTTTAACTTGATATGTTAGTTCTGCTTAAATTTATCTAGTATAATCCCACAGTCCATTTAACAATGTCTCCTCTTCAAGAGAGTGGTTTCAGCTATGGCTTCACGTAATACCTGGGGGTCCACAACGTACTAAAATCACCAATAGTACCAAAAAGAAGTGGTTCCTTCCCTTAAGTATTTATATTTTAATAAGATACCAGGGGCTTCCCTGGTGGTCCAGTGGCTAACACTCTGCGCTCCCAGTGCAGGGGCCCATGTTCAATCCCTGGCCAGGGAACTAGATCCCACATTGCACAACTACAAGATCCCACATGCCACAACTAAAATCCCGCATTCTGCAACTAAGACCCAGCACAGCTAAATGAATGAATGAATGAATAAATAAATAAATAAATAAATGATACCAAAGAGTGTGCTTCCAATCAATGGCATGATGGAGCCAGCTAAATTTTTAGGAATTTTTGCAAGCCAATTGTTAAACACAGTCATCACTAAAAATTAAGTTATTAAATTTACAACTAAATAAATTATTAAAAACAAATATATACACAAAAACCATAACTTCCTAGTTATTTTACTATATTTTACTCTTATCTATGCTCTTGAGGTCTATCATATCTATACAGTAGAAATATATCACATGCTACTACTGCATGTCTTTCCAACTCCATTTTCAGTGACATCATGCTGATAGCTTAAACTCGGCTAGGATGGAAATATATACACCAGGGAAACTGGCAAATGCTAAAATTCAGGACTTCCCACTTTCCCACCACAGCTGCACTTATATGTATACCACTGCTTTCAAAAGGTTTTTTAAAAAATTTCCATCCCCCCTTTAAGTAATATACCCACACTTCTATTTGGAAAATATTTCAGAGAACAAATAGAATTTTAAACAGATTTTAAAAGACAGGGGGTACAGGGAATAGGGAGTTATTGTTTAACATGTGGAGTTTCAGTTTGGAAAGATGAAGTTCTGGGGATGGATGGTGGTGATGGTTGCACAATGATGAGAATGTACTTAACACTGCTGAGTTCTTTACATTTTAAATGCCTAAAATGGTAAATTTTATGTGTATTTAACCACAATTTTAAAACTTTTTTAAAAGAGGAAAAACAGTTTGAGAGTAGAATGTTATCCTCCTTGAAGAACTGAACAGAACATTTTGTGATAAAACCTAGGGGAAGTATTTACTTATTAGCGAAGTCAGTGGGCTGTGGATTAAGCAGGGGACAAAAAAGGAAAAAGGGTGCCAATGCAATGTTGAGAAAGAGAAAAACAATGAAGATTCTCTGATCTGAACCCCTCATTTTATAAATGAAGAAATAGTCTAAGTGACTTCCCTCTAGTTCTATTTTCATTACTCTGTTTTTATGTAGTTAGACCAAAGTTATACATGACATTAAATCCAATAAGAATCACATAGATGGGGGAAAAATGTAAAGACTTTACCTAATATTAAATTTAAACAGTTTTTTTTAAGTTTTAAATCTAATATCTCTGCAGTTAGTCCATTAAAAAATTCTCTCTGAATATAACCTGGTAGTCTGGTACAGAAGAAAAGAAAATAAGAGGATTGAGATATGTGGCAGAAGTTCTAGTTCTGGTCTCACTAACCAGCTATGTGGCCTCCAGTACCTTCCCCCTGAGTCTCTCCTATTAAATGAGAGAGATGGAAATCTAGTCCCTTTCAACACTAAACTTCTATTATATCATTATACCACAAATAAACCAAAGTTTAATTTGTCAAAATGTTAAAATTAATGAAAGTGTTTCTTTTTCCTAATATATAAAAACTTGGGGCTTCCCTGGTGGTGCAGTGGTTAAGAATCCGCCTGCCAATCCAGGGGACACGGGTTGGAGGCCTGGTCTGGGAAGATCTCACATGCCTCAGAGCAACTAAGTCCGTGCGCCACAACTACTGAGCCTGCACTCTAGAGCCTGCGAGCCACAACTACTGAAGCCCGCATGCCACAACTACTGAAGCCCGCATGCCACAACTACTGAAGCTGCGTGCCTCGAGCCCGTGCTCTGCAACAAGAGAAGCCACCGCAATGAGAAGCCTGTGCACCACAACAAAGAGTAGCTAGCCCCCACTGGCCGCAGCTAGAGAAAGCCCGCGCACAGCAACGAAGACCCAATGCAGCCAAAAATAAATTAAAAAAAAAAAATTTGACCTTTGAGTTTCAGATTTTAATGTATGTATTGAAAAGTAGCTTCTACTATTTGTTTTCTTCCTAAACAAAGATGACTGTTGCTTCAGTTTCAGCTGCATCATTTCTGCAACCTGCCCATTGTTCTTCCCAAACACCAAAACCCTATAAGCAATATTGCACTACTCAGAACTATTTACACAGCAGAGACAATATCGATAGGGTTCTAGGATCTGGTGATAAA